CACTTGAATCTGGGAAGTGGAGGCTGCAGTGAGCCGAGATCATGCCACTGCACTCCAGTCTGGGTGGGCAGAGTAAGACTCTATCTCAAACAAACAAGAAAAACAAAATCAAAACAAAAACAAGTATGCACATGTACCCCACGGTGTCTAAAACAAAAGATTGAATTTAAAAGTAGAAAAAAAGACTGGCCACATGTTGGTAACTGTTGAAGCTAAATGATAGTATAGATAGGTTTACCATACTATTCTCTGTATGTCTATATATATTTGAAAATTTCCATAATAAAAACAAATTTTAAGGAAAAAATTACATTAAAATTTAAGTATCAATTGCTAGAATAAGGAATTCTATAATTTTACTGTAAATACTGTATAAAAATCAATCTTATTTGCCTGTACTTTACTGAGGGACAGCATTCTTCAATAGTAACTGGATACATAGGCTTAGAGTCTGACTAGTAACTAAATTTAGAGGAAAAGTGTAACTGCCATAAAGAAAGGATTCTTCGCGGCTTGTGCTACCACAAATAAGCATACTCTACCACGATGAAAGAAACATAAATTAGCAGATGCAGCTAATCAAAGAATGCAAATCTGTAATAGACAAGGTGGAAGCCATTATGTCACCCTGGGACCAGGCAGAGCTAGAGAACACGGAATGTACCATGGAGTAACTTGGAGTTGCAGAGGTGACTGGCAGCACCCAACAGTAATTATTATTAATTGTAGTGTCAGATGAACTAAACTCCTAGTTATCTTAACTGCATGTTAATGGATAGCACAATAATGTCAGTAAGGAACTGGTGAGGCCTGGAGGAGCAGACGTATAGGCTAAAAGGCAGGAAAACGAGGCAGAAACTCTTTATGGTGTTGTCATGGAGGGCAGGGGCTGGACAGTTAGGAAGGCCCTAATAATTAGCTCAGAGAAACCAGGGAAGAAAATCACCCTAAGTGAAGATACTGCGAGCATGTTGGGATACTCAAAATACTGGCTTTGCTGTCCATTACTCCAGAGGCTCTTTTCTGTGACTTGAGCAGCAAGAACACTCAAAGCTTGGGCTATGTGCTGGACAATGTCACTGTGAAAGTCTGGATGACCAGACAAGAAGTTTTGCTTGCCAAAGGCAAAAGGACTAAGTGGCATTAAAAGATACTTCGTATCATACTGATAATTTAACTTTGGCAATTTTACAATCTCAATTATTTATAATTGTTCATGTACTGTTCCATTTGCTTGGAAATGGATATAAAGACCAGAACCAACATGCATAATTTCATCACAAGCAGCTGCAGCATTGGCTCTTCGGTGGGCCTACCTCATAGCATTGTGGCCTGGTGAGGATGGGGGCTATACAGGGCTACCGATTTTTGGTGTTGTAGCTGCTATGTCTTTAAAATCGATGCTTTCATTTTGATAGAGACAGACAGTTTTGAGACAGTATATTCAAAGATGTAGGGATCTTTTCCTCTGGATTTTCATGACTGATATATTAGCATAATCTAGTTATACAATGTGCTTAATTCAAAATTCACTGCTTGTAAGCAGTAAAGATAATGGAACTGTGATAACAAAACCCATAGACGATGATGATGATGATGACTTTATCATCTTTCTTGAAGATGGAATAATGCCGTTCAGCACATAGGCAGCTTCCTGGGGCAAAGGGTAGGGCGCTCAATGCTTAAGAGATCATTAAGCCCACTCTGCTCTGGGATCAGTCCAAAGTGACGTGAAAGAACCCTGAGAGCTGTCAGCCCAATTCTGGTTTCACAGAAGAAAGTGACGTCCACAGTGAGGAACTGACTTACTTGACTGAGATCCCCCATTTGCTGATTGATTATGAATTTAAAGCCATATTTCATGATTCCCAAACCAATGCTCTCCTTTCATTATACCAATCTTCTTCTTCTTCTTTTTTTTTTTGAGATGGAGTCTTGCTCTGTTGCCCAGGCTGGAGTGCAGTGGCGCGATCTCGGCTCACTGCAAGTTCCTTCTCCCGGGTTCACACCATTCTCCCACCTCAGTCTCCTGAGTAGCTGGGACTACAGGCGCCCGCCACCATGCCCGGCTAATTTTTTTGTATTTTGAGTAGAGATAGGGTTTCACTGTGTTAGCCAGGATGGTCTCAATCTCCTGACCTCGTGATCCGCCCATCTTGGCCTCCCAAAGTGCTGGGATACTGCTCTTCTTGCATATGAGAATGATGATACATTACACACACACAAACACACATATACACATACACACACACACCCTCCTCATGGAATAGAATCTAAGCTGCATCTGGTTAGTATCTACCAAATAGGGACCAGCTGACTTGGCCAGAGAAAGCCGCCTGACTGGAGGACTTCTGGACAGATGAGTGTGTGTGCTTGTGTGCGTGTGTGTGTGTGTGTGTGTGTGTGCGCGCGCGCACCCATGTATGTGTTCTGTTGGAGTCACAGTGCTGAAAACACTTTAGAGCCTCTTCTCTGTTTCTTGGGCAGAAAAACACATAAAGCTTAGGCCACGTGCTGGACAGTGTTAACATTTATGGACTTGACTTTTCTAGAGATACTCTTCATAAAGGCTCAGTTTGTTGGAATCAATGGGTTGTGGCAGTTTGAAGTGCGGTTTAAACTAGGAGACAGAACTTGGGTCTTAGAGTCTGAAATCACGGTTTCCGTAACTTAAAGTGTGACACTGGTTGAACAAATGACTTAACTTCTCAGTCTCAGTCTTCTCACTGTTAATCTGAGAGAACACTACCTGCCATATCTTTGTCATAAGGTTTTTCTGAGAATAAAATGTGTAAAAAAGTACTTCGTAAGCTGTAAAGTACATATAAATGCATGATATTACTATTTCTGATATTATTATATAAGGAAGTTCATGCAGAATTAATAGCAAGGCATGCTGGCTCTTAGTAAAAGTGTAAAGTAGGCCAAGTGGTCTGTGACCCACTGTTACCTACCCACCTTCCTGCTGCCCTGGGTCCTCCAGCTCCCAAATGGAAGAGCTACACGGAAGGGGATGGAGGAAGCCTTTCTGGACCCAACCCAATGACAGCCCCAGGGTAGGCTGCCTGCCCATCCGGATTACTCTATTCTCACCTGTGAAAGGTTAGATCCTCAACTGTGGCTGCCGTACCTTTCTCTCCTTCACAAGCTGGGTAGGTAACAGGCAACTAGACTAGGACAGAGGAAACAGTGATCTCTGAGCAGCAAGGGATAGTAGGAAAAAAACAGAAGTTACACGAGAATACGCTTTGATCTATACAAAGAAAGACAAGAGCAGGAGCAGGGTGGCACCCTGTATTCACATCACTCTGCTGAGATGGGCACAGTGCAGAGAATGCGTAACCATAAGCATTAGACTTTACTGTGACACTCTGAGAAAATGGAACCAAATGGGTTTTGGCTTAGAATTCTTTCTGACAGCTTCAAGTCCATTAAAAATACACTAAATGTCAGTGAAAATTTACCACAGCATGTTGTTTTGCCAAGAGGAAAATTTGTGAAATCAGGACGAACATTTAAAAATTCTCCACAAAATCATTTCACTGACTTATTTTCCATTTATTTCTATGTAGAACACTGTACACTTTGGGAGAAATCACTTATATAAACACACACACACACACACACACACACACACACACACACACATACACACTGTTCTTTTTCTTTTTTCTTTTTAGTTTTGTATCTTGAGAAAAAGTCAATGTGGTTCTCTACTTTATTCTTAAAAAAATCACAGAACTATTGCCACAACATCAAGAAGTCATCATGTTAGAGTGGCTACTATTTATTTTGAATTTTTTCACCAAATGATGCTTGATGAGGATATTATCCTAACTTTAAAGACAGAAGTGGATGGAAGAGAAAAAAATTGGGATTTACCACCATGTACTACACCATGCTTGGCATCATGTTTTATTTTATTCCATCCTTAGAACAATTCTGCAGATGGAGTATTTCTATATGCATTTTACTGACAAGGCTCAGACAAATCAGGTAATTCTGCTAGGACCACAAGGCTGACAGGGACAGAAATGGGATTTTAATTCAGAAGATGCTTTCCCCACTAGTCAGTGGTGAAAAAGAAGCAAACAAAGAAATTATCTGGATTCTTAAAAAGTCTGTTATTTGCTGGAGGTGAGAGAAGAGGAGTGACTGGGAGAACAGATGAATCAAGATTAGCTACAGGTTGATAACTGGAAGCTGGGTGATGGATTTCATCATACAATTCTGCTGCTTTTGTAGGTTTGAAAATTTCCAAAATCAAAGGTCAAACAAAAGAGGCAATGTCAATGGATATTGATAACATAGAAAATATTACATATAAACAATCTTTTGTTGTTTATTGAAAATGATAAAGTTTTACGAAAAGGAGAAAAAAATCTAATCTTCAATTCCTAGAGATGTTTGTCAAAAAGTAACTGGGCTGCCCCAGTTAGTTTTGTATGTATGTATGCATGCATGTATTTGTATGTATGTATGTATGTATGTATGTATGTATTTGTATGTATGACATGCAGCTTGACCTCTGCTTCTCAGAGTAGAAAACATTTCACCACCTAATGTGTACCTTGGACAAGCGGCTGCTTCAGGGATTCTTTTTTTTTTTTTTTTTGCGATGGAGTCTCGCTCTTGTCACCTAGGCTGGAGTGCAGCAATGTGATCTCAGCCCACTGCAGCCTCCACCTCCCGGGTTCAAGCGATTCCCCTACCTCAGCCTCCTAAGTAGCTAGGATTACAGGAATTCTAATTCTACTTGTACCATTTCTTCCAACTACATTGAAGATTTATATGGAGGGATTTTGGAAATGCTACTCACGTTTTTTTTAACCGTTTGTAAGGTTCTCTAACATTATCAAGAACCACAAGACTACACAGATGGAAGAAAGAATATTTTACTACAGAAAGAGTATTGCTTTGCTTAACTTAAAATTAAGACGGCTAACTTTAAGATGGCGATAAAAGCTTTTATAGAAACAATGACAAATATGTATAATTACCTCCACTCCTGCGGGCCATTGTTAGGGCTTCCAAAGAAGTTGCTGGAGTTATTTCGAGCTGGCAGACCATGACTTTGGCTCTACTAATGACATTGGCTGCTGCCCTCAGGTCCTCTGTATTCAAAAGTAAATTTGCTCCAGCCACTATGACAATGATATTCTGGCCTATAAAGAAATTCCACCTATTTATATTAAAACTAAACAAAGCCATGCAATGATATTCTGCAGTGTTATGAATACAATCACCCTTGTAAAGTCATTATACAAAATGTGTTGTAAGTATTAATTTTAACATTTCTAGGTTATTCAGCTTGAATTTTGAGTTCCAAATGTATGTTTTGTAATATCTCTGTAAGATTCACATTATTCTGATCACCTTAAGCAAAATCTTAAAAAGATTTTCCCAATATTCTTATATATAAAGAATATTAGTTGAGAAATGACATATAACATACTTTAAACATTTCTTCTATAGAAAATAGCTGGTATATGTATATGGTAAAGGTTCTGAATCCTAAATGACAGATGCTATAGAGACGAATATAAATAGGAATAAACTCGTATGACACTGTAGTATGCAAGCAGTTCATGTGTACCCTATGGTATTCTAAAAAGTGATGCTGTCAATCAAAACACATTTAAAATATCTAACAGATAGAAAATTGTATCAGATATAGAAGAGAGAGGGATACCTGGCTTATACTATAATGGATCAAACAGAAACAGAACTAAGGATTCTGATATATTCTTATTACTTGGACCTGCTGTCTTTAATCCCACCTGAATGAGGGAGGGGTGGTGGTGCATTTCATCTGTAAGGTGAACCCTTAAGAGCTGTGCTGTCCAATATGGTAGTCATAAGCACAAGCCCCACATGGCCATTGAACATTTGAAATGTGGCTAGTCCTGGCTGGGCACAATGGCTCATATCTATAATTTCTAGCACTTTGGGAGGCCAAGGTGGGCAGATCACTTGAGGTCAGGAGTTCAAGACCAGCCTGGTCAAATGGTGAAAACCCATCTCTACTAAAATTACAAAAATTAGCTGGGCGTGGTGGTATGTGCCTGCAGTCTCAGCTACTCGGGAGCCTGAGGTGTGAGAATCGCTTGAACCTGGGAGGCAGAGGTAGCAGTGACCTGAGGTCACATCACTGCATTTCAGCCTGGGCAAGAGTGAGTGAGACTCTGTCTCCAAAAAAAAAAAAAAAAAGAAAAAAGAAATGTGGCTAGTCCACTCAGGTGTGCTTCAAGTAAAATACAAGTGGATTTCAAAGATAGTACAAAGGAAATAAGGTAAAATATCCACTCATTCTTACCATTTTAAAAATTAAAAAAAAAATAAGATAAATTTTTGGGTCTCGCTCTGTTGCCGAGGCTGGAGTGCAGTCATGCAATCTCGGCTCACTGCAGCCTCCACCTCCTGGGTTCTTCAATCAACTCTCCCACCTAAGCCTCCTAAGTAGGTGGTATTGCAGGGGTGTGCCACCACGCCTGGCTAATTTTTTTTTTTGCATTTTTAGTAGAGACGGGGTTTCACTATGTTGGCCAGGTTAGTCTCGAACTCCTGACCTCATGTGATCCACCTGCCTTGGCCTCCCAAAGTGCTGTGATTACAGGCATGAGCCACTGCGCCCAGCCAAGATAAATTTCTGATTACACACTGTAATGATAATATTTTGGACATATTGGGTTAAATATATTGCCTAAGTTAAATTTACCTGTTCCTTTTTACTTTTTAAAATGTGGCTACTAGATAATTTAAAATTCCACATGTGGCTTGCATTTTATTTTTATTGGACAACACTGATCTGGAGGAATGAGTTGTAGCAGGCATTTTCTGTGCTCCAGGCTGCTCGTGCTGATCTTGTATAGACATGACCTAAAATCACCTCTCAACACAGAACAAATTCTATCCTATCATCTTACCACAGATGTGTTTGTTGGCCACGAGGAAGGCTTAATAAAGTGGGGATGGTTCAGCATAAACCTAACCTCAGTCCTGGAAAAATTCAAAGTACCCACTTGCTGAAAGACAGCATCTCTCCTTCATTTTCTTCAGTGACCTCATTTTCTCTGTTGGAGTCAACTGCTACTTCCATGTTGCTGTCTCCCAGATCCAAATTTTTGGCCTGGCCTTAGCTGCTGAGCAACAAGCCCAAGACTATAGCTGTCTGATGGACAATGCCATATGGCTAGCTTGTTCATGCCTCAAATTTAACTTGTCAAAACTAAACTTGCAAACTCACTCCTTCGTTTAAGGGAGCTGATTGTCCCATCTCTGTATATTTGTCTGAATTCTTCTATTACCACCTATACTCTTGAGGGCATTACTGTACACTGTAAACCAGGCAAGGTCTACCAAATAGGCACTTGACACACACTATTACATTATATCTTTGCATGGAAAATGCAGATTTTATTCATAAATAAGAAAGAGAACTTGAGGATATTCCTAGAACAACAACAACAACAAAAGAGGGTTAAGACAAGGAATGAGCTGCTGTTGGCAGGAATAATTACTTAAAAGGTAGCTTAAATGAACACAGGCTTTCTATAGTTAGAATGAAAACTTTTATCTACTACCTTTAGGTGAAACATATCATTATTATTGCAACTTGGAATCACTAGAGTTAAAAATACTGTATTTTCTGTGAGAAATGATCTTGCAAAGCTGCATTATAAATAAAAGACACATTGTGACAAATCCTAATTTAATAAAATGCACACTGTCCACAACACATGAGGCTCTGTCCTAGGTGCCCCACGAAATGCTGGGTCCTTCTGAATATTGATTCTGATTTTAAAACATCTTATGTAGGTGTTTTTATAATTAAAACAGTTGGCAGAAATTATAAAAACCTGACTTGAAGGTTGTTACTATTTTTTTTTTTTTTTGAGACAGTATCTTGCTCTGTCGCCCAGGCTGGAGTGTAGTCACCCGACCTGGGCTCACTGCAACCTCCACCTCGTGAGTTCAAGCGATTCTCCTGCCTCAGTCTCCTGAGTAGCTGAGATTACAGGCATGTGCCACCAGGCCCGGCTAATTGTTTTTGCATTTTTAGTAGAAACGGGGTTTCACCATGTTGGTCAGGCTGGTCTTGAACTCCTGACCTCAAATGATCCACCCGCCTTGGCCTCCCAAAGTGCTGAGATTATAGGTGTGAGCCACCACGCTCAGCCACTGTTTTAATTAATTAATTAATTCATTCACTCATTCATTTATCTATTTAGAGTCAGGGTCTCACTCTGTCATGCAGGCTGAACTGCAGTGGTGGGACTGTGGCTCACTGCAGCCTTGAACTCCTGGCCTCAAGTGATCCTCCCACTTTAGCCTCTCAAAGCATTGGCATTACAGGTGTGAGCCACTGTGCCAGGCCCAATTACTATTTTAAAAGATACATGTATCAGCTATGGCAAAGCCTTGTGGCAGACTTAGTTGTATATATAGACTTTTGCGATTTGATTGCTGTTGAAAGAACAGACAAAATTGAACACTAACGATAAGTTGGATGTAATTAGTTGCTGCCATTTGCTCAGAACGTATTCTATAAATATGACTCATCAAACTTTTCTTTGCACCTATTTACATTTATTTACCTAGTGTAACTGAAATGACAGATGAATGCTTGACTGCTTTTAGAGACAAATGTCAATTATAAGTTCACATGAAGGGTAATGGGGACATTACAGCATATACATATTATTTTGAGGCAACTTCATATATATTGGAGAGACAATTTTGAAAATCGTCTGAAAATTGATCTGAACAATCAACGTGAGAAGTATAAATAAAGGGAAACACATTTACATTTGGATTGGAAAAACTATGTTTTAGGCCTTGAGTGGTGGCTGTAGTAAGAGGTCCATAGGATTATGGGTCAAAATTGATGATGCTTCTGATCTAACTCTGGAAATACACTGTCTTATGAAATGACACTCCAATATGCAAAACACTTACCTTCATTATTGACAATTATAGAAGCAGTTCCTGTAGCAGCATCTTTAGTCTGATATGTAAATTCTGAAAGAAAAAAGAAAATTACAATCACATGTATACAGACTGGCATGTATAATTTATTTTAACAATTTCAATACAACACTAATCCTCGGAAAAACTTTTTAACCTTTAACCATCTGGAATGATAAAAAAAATAAGTAATTAGTGCTAATTTATACCCATCATCTATACAACAAGAAAAATAGACAGCTTTATATTTAGTTGCACCTTTTCTCTGCATTAGTAACAATCCACCAAACTGCTCCTACTTTCAAAGTCCCCCCAATTATTCATAATTGTATACATATGCATTTTTCTAGACCAACACACTTATGTTCTTCATTGAAAGGAATGTCAGAGTTGAGATAAAAAATAAAGGTCAAACCTATAAAATGAACTTGTTTGATTATTTTCATTCTCATAAGCTTGTTATTTCACCAAGAATCAAGGTCTAGCATATAAACAGAAATGTTGACCAGGCAGTCTTTGGTAGCAGCAAAGAGCCCTGAACTGGAGTCAGAAGATTTTATTCTAGTCCTGGCTCTGGCTCCAACCAACTGTGTACTCTTGGAAAAATCACAGAACATCTCTGGCCTTTGGTTTTCTCTTCTGTGAAATAATGGTTTCAGTCTCTATGGCTTCTAATGAGTGTTGCCAGCTGTAACGTTTTTAAAACACCTTTTGTGAATGCAGCACCTTTTTCTCCTTGTCATTTGTCACATATCCATGAGATGAAGGTTTGTAATCTCTTATCATTTTACTCCCATCTGGAGGAATGTACATGGAAGAATAAACCAAAGGACATTTAAGCAAGAATGGACAAAGCTGTGCATAAAAATTCTCTGGCCACCAGGGGAAGGTCTAATAATTCTCCTCTAGATTCAATTTTTCTCATAACAAAATCACGGAAAAAAGCAATCAACAGTAACTTTAAAAAAGATGGGAATTTTACCTGTAGAAATATCATTCTGTTTTAAGTTTTCTATATAATCATTGCCAAAAGAATCTTTGCCAACCTGTACCAAAGAAATAATGAATATTAGATCTTTTATAGTTAGTGAAATGCTACAATGTAGTTTTTAGAATACTTAGCATTTTAAAAGGGCATATCTGCACAGTACTTTACAAACATTAGCTAATTAATCTTCTTAATATAAGATGCTAGACTTGATTGCAGCCCAAAGAATTGTTATATAATAATGTTTCACTTATATCCTACTTAAAATGTGAAGTATTTAATGAACGCCACTCATTAAGTCATTCTCATTTTGAGCTGTTCATGTGATAATTCCCACTGAGATGGAATTCATACCATCTCACTGGTATGGTAGACATACCATCATCAATCCTCAATATGAACAATCTCAGCTATTTGTACTTCATGGTAAATATGGGCATCTTTGTCATGACTTACCTGATGTTCCAGAATCTTTTTATCTTTTCCCTTGACACTGACATGTGGAGGCAAAGAAAAGGAAATTTTAAAGGCCCTAGCTAACTTGAGTAACTTGGTGTAATGGAATTCTGTTTATGCATCCTAGCATCTATTCTGTTAAAGGTATTTCAGTTTTTCCTTTGGACACCCATTTCTGTCCCATTCTATAGACAACAAAATAAAGTTGGCCAAGGGACCCAGGCCTGATTAAAAAGCGTGTTCCTTGTAGTCCCAGCTACTCGGGAGGCTGAAGCAGGAGAACTGCTTGAACCTGGAGGTGGAGGTTGCAGTGAGCTGAGGTCACGCCACTGCACTACAGCCTGGACGACAGAGTGAGACTCTGTCTCAAAAAAAAAAAAAAAAAAAAAAAAAAGTTCCACCACCCTGGTCACAGTGATGGGTTCATGAATGGGCATGTGACCTAAACCAGTCCAAAAAGACTCAATCCTGGGACTTTTATTGAAACTACCAGGGAAGACAAGTTTTCTTCCCAGTAAGATTGCTGGCTATAAGAGAATGTAAGCTTGTAATCACTGGGGCTCACCATATAGAGACAGCTAGAAAGAAAACAGAAACATAACAGAAAGCAGGAGTGACAGACACAAACAGACACAGACTCCTAACACCTTATGGACCCCTAAGTCATCTGAAGCCAGCTCTACCACAGGGCTTTTCAGTTACACGAGGCAATACATTCTTTTTAAAAAATTTATTTATTTTTATTTGTTTGCTTAAGCTATTTCGAATTGAGTGTCTATTGTCTGTTACTAACAAAGTCCTGATTAGCTTCAGGCTGGGCGCAGTGGCTCACGCCTGTAATCCCAACACTTTGGGTGGTCAAGGCAGACAGATCACCTGAGGTCAGGAGTTCGAGGCCAGCCTGGTCAACATGGTAAAACCCCATCTCTACTAAAAATACAAAAATCAGCTGGGTGTGGTGGTGCATGCCTGTAGTCCCAGCTACTTGGGAGGCTGAGGTAGAAGTGCTTAAAGCCAGGAGGCGGAGGTTGCAGTGAGCTGAGATTGCGCCATTGCACTCCAGCCTGGGCGACAGAGTGAGACTCCGTCTCAAAAAAAAAATAAATAAATAAATAAATAAAAAAGGAAAAGAAAAAGCTAGTTAGCCCAGCGCCTAGTGTCACCCCTGAACCACTGAACTATAATTTAAGTGGCTGTGTTTGTGCCTGGGTCCTGTGACCACATTCTTGCTTTGTGGTCCACTTTGGTAACTGGATCTCTCCCCGTTTCTGTCAGCACGAGTGTGTATCCTCTTCATCTGCTTAGCCCTCTAGCTCTTTCAGAACAGGTACTCTTCTCTGCCTGGCCAGCTATTTGCAGGGGCCAGAACTTTAAGTCTGTGGCTCAAAGCCAGAAAACTATGATTGCAAGGCCTTCGATACCAACTGCTGGCATCTTACCGACATCTCCCTACTGTCCGTTTCTGCAATCACTGTGCTGGTCAGGACACCCCTGTTATCTTCTCCCATACCTCTCTAATGCTAACCATTTGTCTGACTGCTACCTTGGCTGGACCTTGGCTTGAACTCTACGGTTGAATCTACAGCAGAGGCTGTAAATTGGTGGGTTGAAAGTTGAATCTGACTCCTAGATATGTTTCGTTTGTCCTACTACTGTTTTCTAAAAAGCAGACCTTTTTTTTTTTTTTTTTTTTTGAGACGGAGTCTCGCTCTGTCGCCCAGGCTGGAGTGCAGTGGCCGGATCTCTGCTCACTGCCAGCCTCCCGGGTTCACGCCATTCTCCTGCCTCAGCCTCCCGAGTAGCTGGGACTACAGGCGCCCGCCACCTCGCCCGGCTAGTTTTTTGTACTTTTTTAGTAGAGACGGGGTTTCACCGTGTTAGCCAGGATAGTCTCCATGCAGACTTTATTTTTTATTCATTTTATTTTATTTTTGAGACGGAGTCTCTCTCTGTCGCCCAGGCTGGAGTGCAGTGGCACAATCTCAGCTCACTGCCAGCTCCACCTCCCGGGTTCACGCCATTCTCTTGCCTCAGCCTCCCGAGTAGCCGGGACTACAGGCGCCTGCCACCACACCCGGCTAATTTTTTGTATTTTTTAGTAGGGACGGGGTTTCACCATGTTAGCCAGGATGGTCTCGATCTGACCTTGTGATCCGCTCGCCTCGGCCTCCCAAAGTGCTGGGATTACACGTGTGAGCCACTGCGCCCGGCCAAAATAGACTTTATTTTAAAAACTAGTTTTAAGTTCTCAGCATAAGTGAGTAGAAAGTACAGAGTTCCCATATACTTTGTCTCTTCCTACAACTAGTATCCCCCACTATTAACATCCTGCAACTAAGTGTACATTTGTTACAACTGATAAACCTACATGACATATCATTATCACTCAAACTCCATAGTTTACATTAGGGTTCACTCTTGGTGTTGAATATTCTATAGGCTTTGACAAATATAAAATGTCATATATCCACCATTATAGTACTATACACAATCGTTTCACTACCCTAAAAATCCTCCGTGTTCTGTGTATTCATCACTCTCTCCCCACTAGCCTCTGGCAAACACTAATCTTTTCATTGTCTCCATATGGTTTTGCCTTTTCCAGAATATCATACAGTTGTAATTACACAGTATGTAGCCTTTTCAGACTGACTTCTTTTACTTAGTAATATGCAACTAAAGTTCCTCTGTGTCTTTTTGTGCCTTGATAGCTAATTTCTTTTTCGAGCTGAATAATATTCCAGCATCTGGATGTACCAGAGTTTAAATATCCATTTGTCTACTGAAGGATGTCTTCAAAGTTTGGGAAATTATGAATAAAGCTGCTATAAATATCTGTGTGCAGGTTTTGCTATAAATGCCCTGTTATTTTTGTTTTAATTTTAATTTTGTTTTTAATTTTAATCAGTTCTCAATACTTAAATATTAGAAGACTTCACAAAAACAGACAGATGTCCAGGAGGTTCTGAACATTCAGAGGTTCTGGTAACGCCGCGTCCACATTCCTGCAAGGCAAACCGTCTGGAACTGAGAGGTAAGTGCCTTCAAGTGGGCATAGACTCTTGACTTCATCACAGTCCCTATCTAGCCTACTGCAATTTCTGTGACCTGCTTGGTTCCTATAGGCCTTTCGGCTTGCTACCTCTGAACTATACTTCTGAACTGAACTTCTATTTTTCTGTCCTGCCAGTGAGCACTACTTCAATGGACTATGTCTCAATCCAGGCTTCAGTCACTCCTGGTGTGTTCCATTCTTCCACAGAACATTGTTCCTTTCTGGATATATCAATAGAAAGAAACCTGTCTGCTTCCTTACCATCATTTCTGAGAACTTAGAAGTCCTTTGCCCTCTCCTCCACCAAATCAAACCTCACCTGTTTTTCAGGTAGCAATTTAAGGTCTACCTTCCCTACTCTGGCCCTTGTTAATCCTCTCATCTCCAGACCTCCTATGACATTCCTAATCAAGCCCATAGTTCAATATCATCTTATATTGTTGGCAATTTCATATTTGTTAGTCTAGCCTTCTTAAAAGCTTACTGGAGACTCTTTAGGATTTGATCACATCAGTTGCCCTTCTGTTCATTTCCCTTGGACCCATCTTGTAGTCATGTTCCATTCTTTTTTTTTTTTTTTTTTAGAAACGGAGTTTCGCTCTTGTTGCCCAAGTTGGAGTGCAATGGTGCAATCGTGGCTCACTGCAACCTCTGCCTCTTGGGTTCAAGTGGTTCTCCTGCCTCAGCCTCCTGAATAACTGGGATTACAGGTGTGCACCATCATACCTGGCTAATTTTTGTATTTTTAGTAGAAATGAGGTTTCACCATGTTAGCCAGGGTGGTCTTGAACTCCTGACCTCAGGTGATCTTCCTGTCTCAGCCTCCTAAAGTGCTGGGATTACACGCATTAGCCACCATGCCTGGCTGTCATGTTCCATTCTTGAAGGAACATGACTACAAGCACCCAAACTATTCTAGAATGGTTCCATACAAGGTTTTGTTTTCAACAGCTTCCTTGAAGGCACTCTCACACTCTTCTGGCTATAGCAGTGAAATACTTTTGGGCAGAAAGATTCTTGGAAACCCGCATAGTCTGAAATAGCCTGTCTGTGTGAGCTTGTTCCACATGAAGGAAGCCAGGTCAAGAGCAACTATGGACAAGCGCTTGCACATAAGCCAAAAGGGAACTCTCAGAACTCAACATGCTCTTTGGAAATCCCAGGCTCAGTTCTGTCCTGAATATTGTAGAGTAGTGCCATCCAATAGAACTTTCTGCAGTGATGAAATGTTCTATATCTGTGCTGTTCAATACAGAAAATGTTTTCTATTTGTTCTGCCCAATACAGATACTCAAAATACAGACTGTGTGACTGAGGAATTCAATTTTTAACTTTGATTACATTTAAATCTAAATATCCACAAGTGGCTAGTGGCTTCTATATTTGACAATCCAGCAAGGGTAATGGAAAGCAAAAGGGCCGGGTATATGACGAACAAGAGCATTTCTTCAGCTAAGGGTGTTGAGATGCTTCTTTCACTCTTATCACTGGGAGGGCTCCTTCTGCACTGAAGCAGAGCTTTGGCAGGGCTTCCAGAGTCCAGAACT